TGAGGATAAAATGAGACAAATCTCTATGACCTAAAGTCACGTTCACAAACTTTAGAGAACATTAATTTGAGGATTTGGGGCTACTTTTGCAATAGTTAGAGTAACACCAGTTTCTTGCAAAGGGAACTGATCTTAAAATTACTCTGCTTTTCAGTTACACCTCTTGGTGTGTGAATCTCACCTTTAACTTTTATTTCTCCCCAAAATATCTTTGAACAACCCTTACGGCCTGAGAAAATCAAATCTTGGTTCTGCCCTGTATCCCCACCTCACTCCCCCCCACCAGTCTGTGTACACAAGGAAGACACACCTCTACTGCAGAATTAAGACTTAGGAGGCCTTTTAAGCTTTTTATTTTTAACCCAACCCATCCGGAATGCATCTGTCCCCACAGGGCAGCCTGCAGATACTTCTCTGTTGCCTTTAGGGAATGAACTCAAGAATTAATTTTCCAGGTCCAGGGAAACTTTGAAGCAGCATCTCCTCCTCTGGAAGTCAGTAGTCACCGTTTCCTCACTACACATGAGCAGTCCCATTTCAAGCTCATGAGATGAACTGAGGTAGTCAAACATCTACTCTTGTATCCTGAAACTCTCCAGTATTAAGTGTATCGCTGTGCAATGACACACCTACAGAGACAGCTTCTTTCTGGCCTTAAAGCCCGTAATGGATAGCACAGGCTAAAACCCCTCCTGTAAGTTCAAGGTACTGTCTCCAGCTGTTCAACATCAATGGGGTGGCACAACTGGAACACAGGAGCACCTATTAGGAGATCACCTGCAATTTTCTGCTAGCTGGTCCCATTATACAAATGTATTTAGACTACTCTTTCCTACTGGGGAAACTATGGTAAAGAAGGAAAGAGCAGTCAGCATTGTTTTTGCAATCACATTAAGTCTTGTTTAGAGCAAGGCTGATGTGTGGGTGAGCTACACAAGTCCTAACTACACACAAACTCCAAACTGAAGAGTGAACACCCATTCCAAAGCGGTAGCTTACTCATTTATCTTCAATTTGCATTTCTCTACATCCCATACAGAGTCAAGAGGCTGAGACATTCAGTTCCTCAGAAGCTTTATTTTCATTCAAGCTACAGAAATAAAGTAGTACCTTCCAATTTCCCATTACACTTTCTGCATATTCGTATGGCTCAGGGTGAGATGCACTAGGATAACTACCCTGTACATACGGAGGAAGATAAGGCTCAAAAACTAGCTTTACTTCAAAGAATGCCAAACCTTCCCTATGAGGTTGGCTCCAATTCCTTGGTAACATTCATAGGCACAACATAAGGGAAAAAAGATTGATCTAAACTACCTATTGTAAGCAAAACCTAATAATTCATTACAGAAAGTCATCCAAAGAAACCTTTTAGAAATAACAAAACAGTTTTCTACTTTGAAAAAATAGAAAAAATAGATGAGTCATTTTTGCTTTATATATGATATATTCACACACATACTTTCAAGTATCATTTCACTATTATCATACTTACACGGCTAGAGATAAAAAAGTGAAAATCCCATAAGCAGACTATTATGCCAAAGAAGTCACACAGTCTTTACCTGGGTTTAGCAACACTGGGAATTCTGCATGGTATCATAGTGACCAAAAAAGCAAGAGACCTGAATCACTGTACTTTTTCCCTTTAACAAACATGTTACAGTAAGGCTTGAAAAGTATCAGGATTTAGGAAAACAAAGATGGGAAAAGCACAGGCAGTCATAAACCCCGCAAATTCACAGCTAAGCTTGTCACAGGCTCAGTACTAGCAGGGAATAAAACAATCTGAGTTATGTTTGGCTAGCAGGCAAACTGGTACCAACAGACTGACTTCAGCTGGGATGTTCTTACATTTAAGGCATCACACAAAATAACAAGTTAATGCTAACAATCATCATGTGCTCAGCCACAATTCACATTTAGCTCTGGACATCAGGACTTGCTTTATTTCAAAACAGAAAGGCTAGCAGGGCATCCCATCGTCTTTTGGGAAAGTGCCAGAGAGCCACCAGGCAAGAGCAGAAGTGACCATGGTTTTTATCACAGGGAAAGGAATTTAAGTGCTTATTAAAGGCTTTGCTGCAGTGCCAGAGCTGGATGCCTGAAAACAAATTCCGATGGAATACAAAATTTTCAAGAGCTAAAAGGCAGAAAGGAGCTACAGTGGTGAGTTGTCCTGCCAAGAGATCAAAATGGAAAGTCTTCAAGGTTTAACAGCTTCTGGAGCTTTGAAATTACCATGGAGAGGTCCAGCAGGTCTTCACTAGTCAAGACTGGGACCAGTTCCACACTGCTTGCTAATATGCTCTGCGCTCCTGCTCTCCAAGTCTAGTTTGGACAGATAGGTATGAAATGTCTCAAAGTGAAATAGGGAAAACTATTTCCTTACTGGTGATGTCATTTTCATTTGTCTTGTTTCTTGACCAATACGAAAAGGCACAATTTCCACATAAAAAAAATACTGTAAGACCTAACTAAAACCTACTCACAAAAAAAATTTGCAGAAACCACTGACTGTTCTTAAGAGGGCAAAGTCATCTAAAAGTTAAGTGCTAGGCAGTCTGAAAGCTCTATGGGTTTAACTATTAAGCTCAACTATTTGGCTTAGTACTCCAGTGCAAGATGTTCTTAAGATCTAGTTTTAAAACCGTCAGTCTCAGACTCAAAAAATAAAGCTTCTTGGAAACAAGGGAGGTCACAAATATCAAAGGGAAGATCCATGTCACTTTACTAGGCTGAAATGCAATGCCTTTTTGCTCTTAGTAAGGGTCCCATGGAATCCAGAATATTTTTTCCAAGCATTTCTGTAGGAAAAGATTCCATTAGGTAGGATGGAACTTTTGAGCTCAGTCCAAGCTTTGCTCAAAGCTACTATTCAAAGTTCCCAGAATTTGAATAACAAAGTAGTAAGTTTCCTGAGCTAGAGACAGCCTGAAACGCGAGGGACACACAAAGTGACAATGAAAAGCACTGCACAGCCCGAGGCTTACAGAACACCCAGAAGCCATAAATTAACAAATATTCCTCATCTTTTATCCCTTTTTCCTAGGCTATATTTTGGCACATTCTTATACTTCTTTGATCATAGCAACCTTCTGCTTTCTTTCGTTGTTCTGCTGGTTTTCTATCTTATAAAACCACTTCTGAATAGATGCTTCAGACATTTATTCTTTAGTCCTCTCAGGCTTACTAAAACCACACATTGACAATGGCTACCCATTTAGCTGGGAGTTCAATGACACTGAATATTTTGTACCAAAACCAGATATTTCAACTTAAATATTTACTACTTTTTCCTCTTATGAGCCCGTGGCTGTTTTATTAATGTTCAGCATGGAGAGCTCTCAGCTTTCTCCCACAGTATAAGAATACAAACTACACCATTATAGTCAGAAAAACATTAGTATGCAGCACAAAGTGATCTGCAAGTCAGGGAAAACTAGGTTCATCATCACTTGCTTTCTCTAGCAATGAATTAAAGGCATAGGTTATATATTTGATAAAGCAAGTACATCATGCGATTTTCACTCAAGTCTTTTAGAAACCTAGCAATTATCTGAGCAGTCAAGAGCCTCAAATCAACCTACTAGAAGTTTTCGTATCACAGTGCATGTCAGTTGGCTGCTTTAAACAGGCTCAAAAACCTGAGACCATACCAAAAAAACTATCAATCACCTTTCTAGATGAACAAAATGCTGCTACACTGAACAATATTCCAGTCAGTCTTGCAATAAAATTAAAAACCCCAATACTATATACTTTTCAACAGCACTCAGTTTCATCTCACTCTTTACAAAAGGGCAGCACTACCTACATTTCTGAATTACACAAACTTAGCAAGCCTTGCCCCAGTGCTTCCAAATTACATACACATAGACAACCTAGTGTCACCACTCCGGAAACGGATTCATTTTCGGCTTCCCACGCATACAAGCACTACCAGCTTATTCAGAAATATCAAAGCCATTATAAACACTACTCAGCTTGAGGCTGATATACAACAAGTTCAAAGAAATTTAGTTCAAAAAGTTTACTTTAATGGCAAAGATGACTACCTTAAGCAGTAAGTTGGAAAATAGGGACTGCTATATTCTACTATGAACGGTCCTATTAAACTCAACTTGCTTCGCACACCTGCAGAAACAGGGCAGGCAACCAGTTACACCAGAATCCACAGAAAACAGCATATGAACAGTCTAATAGTTCTCTCAACATCCAGCATCTACCCTGGTTAATGACCAATACTGAAGGCATGGTATCATTATAGATGCCTGCTGTGAGTGTTTGTATTAAACAGACAAAAGAATGATCCAGAAGTTAATGTAACACCTTCTTGGTATAGTCTGATATGCTATTTATGACATAAGTTTCTTACAAAATGTGCAAGAAAGCGTTCAAGTCTATCTTTGCACACAGAACCACTTCAGTGCCTTTATCAGGCAGATTTAAAAGTCTGATTCAACTGAAGCTTCACTGCCACAGTGACTAAACTTGCTTTAAGGAGTTATCACAAAGATCAAAACCCCAATAAGCCTTTAAATTTAACTGAAGAAAGGCTATATAGCCCTGGCAAGATCTTGAAGTACATCACACACTAAAAAAATAAGAAATTAGCAACAAAGTATTGATTTTGCTGCATGCTGTACTTTTAAAAGTGGAAAGAAAAAGCCTCTCACGTGCTCAAAACAAGAAGTTAACTCAATGGCCTTCAAAATTTTACTCCAATCTTGCAAGTCAAGCAAACTTACAGCTCCCACAGCGACTCTCAAGCCAATGAAAGTTTTACTTCAGTCTAAGACACATATAACAGCAGACTATCTAGATCCTCATATACTTTTATTTTGTAGCCATGTCTCTAGTGCCCTTTACTTGTACTTCATACAGGAATTATGTATTTAAAGTAGAACCGCTCACTTCAGCACTTTTAGTGTAGCTCCTACCTGAAACTAGACAGCTTTCTGTGTACCCTCAAATCTCCTGGTTGGCATAAACCAAAGTCAAAAGTGAAACAATGCAAACCATGATCAATTAAGACCAACCACTAGAAAAAACAGTAGCCACATCAATATAATTTCACTTTGATTTAGGGTGCTATCTAATAGATTTATTAAAAGTTTCAACAGACTATAACTTCAGACTATCTTTCTTGGAAGACACTACAACAGAAGCCACAGCGGAGACTGCCTTGTCACAAGAAGAAAGAATACTTGCTGTATAGATGGAGAAATAAAAGGACAAATCTAGTTGTCTAAAAGACAATTCACTGTACACATTTTATTTACAGTTTTGTACACTGTCTTAATATGAATGGGACTGCTTTTCTACTTGAGCCATTTTAACCAAAGCAAAACAACCTAAGTCATACAAAGTGTTAAAATACAGCGTAAGATACAAAAACAGACATACTATTTCTAGTAAGGAATGTAAGTTATGGTGTTACATTAAAAAAAATCCACAATTATGTTTAGGAAATCACACAAACAGATCACTGATTTGACTGAAATGCATAAATTTGCAGCAAAGCTTTGATGTTACAAAAAAACAAAAAATTACCAAAGAATGCACAAAATTAATGTTTATTCCACCTTTGTCATATTCCCAGATTCTTCACCAAATGTTACATGAGCAAAACCAACTGAAATCAAAATATCACTAATGTTATCAAATAGGGAAAACAAATAAATTAATCTAGCAGCCATCAGTACAGGTTACAGCAAAGATGATGCTGTATAAAAGAATTGCTAGAAAACTGTATGCACCATACTCTTTTCCAAACCAGCAAAATGTTACTGCATACAATGCAAATGTAAAACAGAGTAATTTCCTGCAGGTACAGAAATGCAACTTTTTTCTGAATACTGTGGATAAACAAATGGGTTTTTTCATAATAGTAATGTTTCTATCAAGCTATTACAGAGTGGGCCAGGAAAACATTTATGTATTCAGGAGGTGAAGTGTACTAAAATTCTGATTGGTAATGGTTACTTCAGCCAAAATAGAAAAAATTGAACACAGAAGTACAAGACAAAGGCAAATGAGACTTCTCACAAATCTTAGCAACACTTAGATGGAAATCAAATTTAAATGTAGTCCACTCTGTTTTTGAAGAGGCTTTGGTTCAGCTCCCAAATCTCGATTGCTTGACGCAGTCTCCTATGAAAGAATACTCAGAAGGTGTCTTCTTAAACAACAAACCTATTTTTAGTGGTGGAGCCGCTCTTAGTAGCTGTGTCTGCATGGGACTGGTAACCAATCACTATCTTTGGAGGAAGTCCTAATCTTTCCTTGTATACTCTCCTGGAGAAAAGAAATGGAACAGTTTAAGTAAAGCCCTTAGGAAGGAATTAGCAACTGGACACCTGCTTTTAAGATCTGCTGACATCTTCATGAAAAATAGTTGCCTATTTAGAAACAATTTCTAAAGCATGAAAACCAGACTTGAAATAGGATTTTTCTAGCTTATTGCATCTGAAATTAGCTCGTAGTTCTGTATGAACAATGACTTACCTTATAAAATAGGACAAGCTCTTGCCAAAATATAATTAACAGGCCTACATAAACGGAAACACAGGGATTCTACGGCATTCATGTGAATATCATTAGTATCAGCAAGCTATATTCTTACATATAGAAACAAAACAGCTATGAAGCAGTCACGGTTCACGATTCCAGAACTACTGAGACACTAAAGTCACCTGAATCAAATAAAACAGCAATCCTTGAGCAGTTTTTATCACCACACACATCTCAGTCGCACAGACTTGCTGTCTTTTCTGCAGCTACTGATAGAAAGCAGGCTCCCCAGTTCAGTATGGCACTGGTCATGGGCAGCTACCCAATTGGAGCTTTAAGAAAAATCAGCCTGGATTTTATGACTTAAGAGAAAGAAGCAGCAGTACCTCCTTACACACCACTGTGTACACATGTCAAACAATCCATGAAACTGAGTATGATTTTGATTTGGACTTAAATTGGGACAACAATGTAGAAAAACATCTGTAGAGTTTCACAACACATGACTATATTTTTTTTTTTTAATAAAAGGACATCCTTGTGAGCTTAAGATTTACCGTGCCTTTCTTATTTGTAAGCATCACTTTCCTGAGAAAAATCTTACTAATACTTTGTTACTAGCTACCTACCTTTACAAACTGGCATGTTGTAACAGAATCCACACTATCTACAGGTATTAATTACAATGCCTCATTGTGAAATGAAAGACTTCTGCCAAGATTTGTGTCCAATTCTTCATTATTTCTGACTTACAGCAAAGCCTACACAAAAAACTACACAGTAACAAATAATTTGGAACTCAGCTGAACCAGGGATACAGCTCTGCACAGGCTGCACTCGCCTCACGTGCATTACCTATGGAGTTTGCTGGCTGTAAATGCATTGTCACACTTCATATTCAAGACACCAGTCACATTACTTACCCTATATGCGTAACAGCGTCCCTGTTTTCACATTCAGTTGTCCATATTGCTATTTTATCACCCTTAGTTCTAACATTAACAACAGCACCACATACATCATCACTGTAGTCATCAAACGACTCCCCAATAAGGCACAGCAGCTACAAAACAAAGATTAACCATTAAAAGTGGCAGTTCAAAGTCAGAATCCTGCTCCATTGGCAAACACTCAGTGTATACAGAGGACTTTGTAGAATATCACATTTTACTGCTTACAGGCACTTGCCATACAGCAATCATTTTCTGTTTACTGCAGTACCTTCTTGAAGTTCCAAATGTTACAAGTGAACACAAACTCAGTTGTGTCTCTCCTCCTATCCCAGCAGCTGCAAGTTCTGACACAGCTGATTGTTTACAGTGTTGCCTGCAATCTCATCCTCCCAATCCAAAACCAGGTAAGAATTAAAGGAATTTATTCTTCTTTCTGAAGCATGTTTAACACAGGTAGACAAATCTGATATTTTTAAACGTTTGCATCCATTATCTACAAAGAATCTGTGAAGAGCTATTTGGGTAATATGCAAATCTGACATTTTTAAACGTTTGCATCCATTATCTAAAAGAATCTGTGAAGAGCTATTTGGGTAATATGTCAGCTATGTAAGAATCATAGAATGGTTTGGGTTGGAAGGGTCCTCAAAGATCATCTAGTTCCAACCCCCCTGCCATGGGCAGGGACACCCTCCACACTACACCAGGTTGCCCAAAGCCTCATCCAACCTGGCCTTGAACACTTCCAGGGACCAGGCACCTACAACTTCTCTAGGCAACTTGTTCCAGTACCTCACCACTCTCTAAGTGAAAAATTTCTTCCTTATATCTAAATCTGCCCTCTTCCAACTCCAGTTCTGAAGTATATCAATACAGAGGCAAATGAGACTGCAACCTAAATGGAAAGTGCCATCTAATGAAGTGTTACTTCCTATCAACACACTCAGGAAGCTTCACAGCTACCACAGACTCTAAAGTGGGAATCGGTCTTCCTGAATAGCATGTCATGCAAGCACAACAACACAAGCGTACAAGTAATATAAGATCCTCCCCCATGGACTTCTAATGGTGAAGCTTGGAATTCGCAAAGATGGTACACTTCAGGAACATCACACTGAGTTAGGTCACATCCCTGTACAAGACACTAAAGGTGAAAATTATTTTTACCATCTACAGCTTGCAACTTGTAAAACAAGCAATTTTTAGATCAACAAAACAATTTCTTGTGGTTAAGACAGACTCATCTAGTCCATGCTGAATTAAAAATCCTTCTGCACACTGAAGTATTAGTCTCCAAATGGACACTTGTGTACTTCACTTGCACAGTACCTTAAATACACTGCCATTATCTTAATTTTCCAGAATCACTTATAACATTTGGAAATTCAACACACTTGCAACTTTTTGAACAAAGCAGGTCTTTCAGTACCCATGAGAGCAGCAAGGGCTGACTTCATCAAGGAAATAAAAAAAGGACAAAGTTTGCTACTGAAGAAATGAGGTCTAACTATGCATACTTTGTTACACCTGATTGCAGGACGCACATGTTCACTGAGTAATGAAAGCCATAAATGTTTAAGCTACACACAAACATTCAAAATATTAGTACAGCCTTAGTACCCATGCATGCAAAGATGGCTACCATGCTCAACACATGAATGCTGCACAACAGGGCAAAAAAGTCTTTTCGAATGAAGCTTAGTTTACAGGTAGGAATGGTTAAGATCATTACATTATAATAAAAATTTGTTCCAAAGGAAGTGGTAAAGGACGAGGTTTTGATTTTTTACTGGAGAAAGCTGGTTACAAATAATTACTGGAATTAGAAGTGACAGGGTTGTTTTAGAGCGCATATCCCAGTCACCTGGCTATCTGGGCTCTGTGCCATTGCCTGCTGCTAAACAACAAGCAGAGCTCTCTAGCCCCAAGTTTATGTAGAATACCTGCATGTTTCCAATCCATATGCAAAGGTTAAGAGTCAGAAGGACTCATATAGGCATTTAGGTGGGAGAGGCCAAATGCATGCAAGGCATTTATTTACTCATGTGCAGTCACGTAGCGTAGTAGTATAAAGCACATCATCCTTTCTTCAAATCCGTACTACAGTGACTAGAAAGATCCTAATAGCTCTGGTATTTTGGACAACTCTGCTTTCACCCTGAAGGCCTTTTCTCCCCTTCAAAGGGGTGCAATACTTCTTGCTTCTCACGCAAGCAGGGGAAAAAAGATCAGAGATTTGGAAGATTGCTTTGCGTTGTACTGCCTGCAATCCACGCCTCTCAAACCCAGATCACACAACTCTTTTAGGCTATTCTAGTCAGTTCCTAGACAGTACAGTCGTACCCTTTTCTACAACACTTCTACTGCAACCCACATAATCTCTAGAAGTATATTTACTATTCAAAAGATTTATTCCAAAAGATAACAGCAATGGAAAAAAGTATTTTTATAGCACACTGGTAGAGTGTGCTATTACTTGCCTATCCTAGTGTTAAGTACAAAAAGAACAAAAATAAATCTGAAAACCCCGTTTCAGCAAGAACAAAACCTGAAAACCATTCACTCGTAAGTATTTTTAGAATTGTTAACATTTAAGCAGTTAAATCTGGGAGGCACATTCAAGAAGCAGTATTATTTTCCCAGTAGCTTGATAGCCATTCTGTACATTCCACAGGAAAAGGTTAATCTGTCCTGTAGAATTATATCTATTGCTGCCCAGTATAAGACAGTATTCAACAGAATACAACTACATTGAGCATCACTATTGAAAAATGACGTTTCAAACACAGCCTGTCATGAAAAACTTACAGGACACTGGGCTGCCAGGAAGTTAGAAGTCTAGTGTGGCACACAGAAAGAACACACCAGCTAAAATAACACAAATGCAAGGTTCTTCAGTTGCAACTTGTAAGGCCATAGTGCTTACTGTCTCTAGCCAGAAGCGATCAAGGTCAGTTCGTCTCTGCTGTTTGTTTAGTGTAATTAGCCATCGTCCTCCTCGTTTGTTTTTTTCATCTTCCCACATGGGCTCAATCCCATCCTGCAAAGAACAGCCAGAAGTTAAATCAGACTTGATCTGTATTTTTCCTAAAGAAAAACCAAAAGGCCAGTGATAATTGAAATAGCAACTTAAGAAAAAAGTGTATAGTTTTAAGATACATACCTGTGAAGAAATACTGTCTCATACCAATACTAAAGTTCCAAAACAGCTTAAGAAGTGCACTTTCTCTCATGAATTTTTATTTTTACAGAAGAATCACAGCCCTGGCAAAAGTCTTGGCTACACAACATGACATAAAAAGCTGTGGGAACAAGCAAAGTCAAATATCCACTCTGGCCCATATGAAACCAGATAAAATTAGCAGCTACATTCTGGAGTCCTTATTTTAAGTCTTGGAATCACTGCAACACTGGCCAAGTGCTTTGCTTATGCATAAAGGTTACTTCCCTGAAACAGACACCTTTGGCAGTCTATCTCCATGTCTTCCTGCACACACGAGGTGAGAATAAAAGGGTTTTAATTGCCAGGATCACAAAAATCAACACATCATTTAGAAGCACGTTGCATTCTGATTCATCCTTCACCAATGGCCCTGCACTAAATTAAATGATTCTGGATGCACTGATCCAGCAAAGCAGCCAGCTGTCACTCCCACATCCACCAGCTACACTGCATTTCAGGAAAGTCAAGTTGTTAAAAAAAGCAAGTACCTATCTAGATAGAAAAATTTGGTTAAGAAATGTCTATCAGGAGAGCCACACTACAGAACTTTGGCTGAAAATTAAGTGTTTAACATGCAAGAAAGAGTGGTGTCAGTTCACTTTTAACACCCTTACTGGCAGCTGCAGAGCTCAACCAACTTCGTCACCTTTAAGAGGAACTCATGAGGTCACGATTGGAGCACAACAGTAAGAGATCGCTCAGAAGCCTGCAACAGTTGCCAATTCTGTACCTGTTCCATGCATTTAAATAATTAAATTACTGCTGACTGAGATGGAAACAGACTAGAAACACATACTTAAAACACAAATCTAGGATTCATGCAAAAAATTCAAGCATGATCGATAGATATCCTAACCTCTGAAGGGCCTACAGCTTCTTAAAATTTAATAGCAAGGTTTCTCAGTCACCTAAAAATATTGTTAACCTTCCCAAACCCAAGCATCACCACCTCTTCACTACCTAAAGCTGCTGTGGTTTATAAACTACGTACACAGCCTACTGAGGAGTCCCAGCCAGTAGCTATGTTTCATGTAGCAAAGGAGGAACCAGGCACCAGTACTTCAGTGATTATTTAGGTATTTGAATCCAACAAGGAAGCTGTATGTTAGAAGCACTTCAGAGAGGTTAGGATTTTATTTAGAACTCCCAGGTCAGATCTCCACTCCAGCCGAGGCAGGATTTCACGTACACTTTCTCATCAGCATTTCTCATTCACTAGTCTGAACACTTCCTCAGCATGCTTGAAGTGTCAGTGTTGGATACAATTTTCTATTTCATGCATAAGTAATGACAGGTAACTGGTGGTGTAAAAATTCATTATAGGAGCATTGCACATCTGGCTAGTAGTGAAATACTGGAAAACACTGCAGCCTCCCACAGAACTCAGACATTTTAACTCATTTCATGTCACATCAACTGACAGAGCTGGAAAATCTTTCATATTATAAAAATTATTGCAATTTAATTATATGCACAAGCATCTCAAACACAGAATGAAGACAAGCACAGCAACAGATTAAAACGTACTGTGTGAAGCGTGTTAAAGCAAGTACTTGCATTTTCAGAACTAGCGACAGCCTGATTTTCAGAGGGCATGTGTTTGGGATTCCTAAAAAAATTAACACCTTTAGGACATTCCCAATCATGTTCCTAAATATCTGAAGTGAAATATTCAGACAATGTCTTAGTCAGGAGACCATCCATCAACACCCATAACTGAAGAAAAAAGGTTAGCAAGCATACCTTAAAGAGCGAGTAGTCACAACCAGGCATTAAATTACTAGAGAGCTGGATATGGTTGTATAAACTATTGGAGGGAAAAAAGCAGGATTAAAAACTAAGCATTATTTTAAAGTACAAAATTCTTAATGAATTTAAGACATATGACCAAATAAAATAGAAAAAAAGCAATAAAGTTATTTCATAAGCAAACCCATTTCCTAAGTATTTTTCAGTCATCTAAAAATCACTTAGCTTTAAGATGTTTGGGCCTTAAAGAAGCAGAATAGAAACTGGTTTATGAACACTTGCTGGATTCCTACACAACAATCTTTTCCAGAAATACCAATTTTAAACCTAGTTCTAACAAAGTTATGAGAAGCATAACTCACTGAATTTTCTTGGCAACAAGTTCTGTGTGCATGTGCATTCCGTACCTATACATACATGGAATAAGGATAATTGTTCATATTTCTAAGGCTACGCTCTTGCAGAGAGGTTTTGGGATAAATTCAACTTTTTTATTTAATACAATGCTTTAGAGATGAAGGCTGCAGGTCTGACAATTCAAATTGAAAAAAGGACTCAAAAGGCAAGAATAGATGACAAACAACAAACTAAAACATATACGCTGAAATAAATTTAGAACTATGCAATTCAGAGCCAAAAAAAATTAAAGGAGTACACACTGTCTCATCCTCTAGCTAAACAACAGATTTATTTTTTTTTTTCCCTGCACTGTTAAGGTCAGACTTCAGAAAAAGGCCTGCACATACCACAGTAACCTGTAGTCCAAGACCAACTAACATTCAGGCACGGTCCAGCACCAAAACCAAATTAATTACTGCAACATTCTAACATTCTAAATCAGACACAGGAATTTGCAAAGCCAGTTACAGATTTACCAGCTTCTTTCATTTAAGTTTACCTTAACCTTAATATTTTCTCCCCAGAACACCACAACCTATTTCTCACTCCAACCACAATGGGGGCATCACTTATCAATTGCTTGTGACTGATTTTCTACCTTGATTGCAGACCACTAGATTTAGCACTTCTTTTAATTACTGAGATTATCTCGGTTATAGGAGCTCAAAAAAACTTACCATTAACCAACATTCATAGTGAGCTTTAAACAATTTACCCTCCCATCACATACCCCAAGACTGCAAACGACTGTTCACTTGACCATCAGTCACCCCCATAGTAGGAACGGGAAAGCTGGTTACAAGCACAGAAGCCTATTCCCCTCCGACAACTGCACTGATAAATACTTGTTCAACATTTTCAGTACCTTTATTTCTTTCCTGTTGGTGCTAATGGGTCACTGATGGGTCTCTCCTTTACTGATCACACCCAAAAGAAGGACCCTACCACTCAATGTAGCATGAAACACTAAGAAAGATCGAATATGTAACGCACTTTTTCACCCTCAATTTCATGCCATTTGCATTTTCTCCATATTTCATCATTACAGCAGGCAAAATATTCCAACAAAGCCATCTGAATCTGACTAAAGCAAGTGTTTGGAAAGCACAGGCCTATCTTCAAAGGCTTTGTTCTTGCTGTTTGAGCCTGACTGCTTTTGCAGATCTTCAGTTTAGAATGATGGTAGTTTCTTCTGTGACCTCTAACAAACTTCTTTCAAGGATGCCATTAATCTGCATCTGTCAAGTACTACACTCTAGATTCCGGCATTTTTGAACATTTCAAGTGAGTCAGCTGCCTGAGAATTTAATCCATTAGCAAAATTTGAGGCCATGGAAGTGACAATCAGCTACACAAATTTACAAATTCATGTTACTATGAGACAGTACTATGGCACAACTACAGTCTTCTACAACGATGTCATGCACATATGAATATAAGCAGTGCTGCAGTGTTAACAGCAAGACAATATGCATGTGAAGTATGAAAACCTTCTTCAATGATGTTTTCTTCAAAGGTTACATCTACCACATTATGAAGAGTGGGGTAAACGTCACCTTCAATTTTGCAAACGTTTTAGACTACACCCAAAGAGCCACAGTTAATGGAGTACTTTATGGCATAAACTTTGCCAACATACACCAGGATTATTATGCAGATTGAAAAATCTTTACTTACGCCCAAAAATCTTCAACAGTATCAAACTTTGAGATAAGACGAAGATTTGCTTGCCAAGTTTTGCTCTTGTCATTTTTAAAAAACCAGAGTGCCCATCTAAAAGAAAACAAAATAAATTACTAGCATCTAGAGATTTAAGTGAATTAAAAATATAATTGTTTGTATTATTATATCCAAACTAATTGCAAAACTTACGATATTATCAGCATAGAAGCCAGTTTTTGTCAATAAGCTACATAAACTCAGTTCTCAAATCTAGCTCTTTGTAGATCAGCAATATTTGCATTCCATACAAGAATCAGGGTAGACTTGATCAATCTGTTTAGATAAATATTCTAAATAGTTTTGGAACACTTCTAAGACTCCCAACTCTTAAGCTTCAGGTGTTTCTCCTTGCTGCCACTGCTAAACTGCAATCCCCTACCACTAGTAACCGATTCTGGTCTAAAACACCACCAACCATTCCAACTTGGGGCACAGCTTCCTTTCCAGCAATTTCCTTGTAAAGGTTACAAAAGCTAATTATATCACTCCAAAGCTAATGTGTCATGACATGAAAGTTTCCCAAGCGCTCACGTACTAGCAGAGCATAAATTTTACAAGGGAAGCTGCATTGTTGCCATTAGTAAATTCAATCTTTAACTGTCTCAAGTTTTTAAATCTGCATATATAAAGACAAGACTAAATTAAAAATTTTTCATCCCATTTTCTTCATCATTATCTCCGTTGAGTACAAATCTCAACACATAATATAAATTGAACCTTTCACACAAAAATGCTCTCTCTGGATCTAAAAAGCATTACTTAAAATGCTGGAAAAGGATACCTAATGAGGCATTTAACAAAAAAGGCTTATTTTCCATTCTGATAGTTTCAGCACTGTTAAAAATCACCCAGGTCAGCACTAGAGTAGTTTTATCTTCTCACAGTCAAGTACTTTTAAGTCGCCATGTGTCAATCTGTTGTTTTGAGACCCTTCCTGACATTTCAATCCTTGGTTTAAAAGTTTACTATTTCCCAGTGATAGCCCCACTACCACTTGTTAAGGAGTGTCAGCATCAATTTAATCAACGTGTGTAGAGGAAAAAGGGGCAGGCTGGACGTAG